TGACAGAGTAATGATTTTCCTGTTTGCAAAGTTGTGTTTGAGGACTTTATTGTACTCTAGTGATATATTTAGTTACCTGAACTATTAATTTAGATTTGTTAATGTTTAATTCTCTCTCTCTCTCTCTCTCTCTCTCTCTCTCTCTCTCTCTCTGTGTGTGTGTGTGTGTGTGTGTGTACGTATGTACGTATGTACGTACGTACATATGTATGTGTATATGTATGTGTCTACATGCATTGACCTGATATTGGCCAGAAAAGGAGAGCTGATCCCTTCGACCTGAGTTAAAAATGGTTGTATGTGGAACTAAACTCTGGCCCTGTGCAAGAGCAAGAAGTACTGCATACAGAACTAATGAAAACAATATTTGACACACAGGCTGTGTAGCTGGAGAACTCATGGAGAACAGAAAAGGATGCTAGCTCGTCTAGAGCTTGAGTTGCAGATAGTTGTGAACACTGTGCATACAGTGGCCCAAACTCTGGTCTTCTGCAAGAATAGTTAAGTACTCTTAACCACTGAGCTATCTCACCAGCCACTTGAATTGTTTACACACACACACACACACACACACACACACACACACACACACACTTTGTTTACCTATACCACAAGATCTTCAGAGTAACTTCCAATAGGTGCTTAACATGTAGTAAAATTAATTGTGTGGTTCAGTGAAAGAACAAGTGAAAGGATGAATCAAAGTACTCTGTAAAATGTAAAGTGCTTTATAAAAACACAATGATATGAGTATATCATAGGGAACACCTCTGATCTCACAATATTTTCCCATAAGACCTTCTTGGGACACAAGTTTCCATGAACAAGTAAAAACTGATTATCTATGTGGTGGAAATTCTTCAAAAAACAGTATTAGTTTCAAATACAATTTAGTAGAAATGAAACAAAGACAGAAGAACAGTTGGATGACAAAGGTAAATAGTGTTGCTGACCTGGCAACCACAGCTGAGAAGTGGGAGAGGGAACACATAAGGACCCTACAGGAGATGGAATTCGAAACAGAATAACACCATTCTTGAGATAGTAACAGATGCATGAAGGTTGTTTCATGTTTCATATTATAGTGGAGGATATACAGATCATCCATATATCAGATAAAGTTAATTTTGTCATGTATTATGACTTTAAGCTGTTTGGTTGTCTTTATTGCTTGCAAAAATGCAAGCAATAACAATTGAAACAAAAAGACCAATTGAGAATTTTAAGTTCAAAACCCATTTTTAACAACAGAGAGAATTATTGTATCTATTTAAGTTCGTTTTCTTATCAGTAAAATGAACAGGTTGCATGAGATGCCTTTCCACACTATATATTATCTGGACAAGAGCATTCTTTAAAGTAACTTTATTCCTTTTATAAAGTTTGCATTTGCAAATTTACATTAAAAAGCAAGTCTCCATCATATTTATATTTTAACTTCATAGCGCCTTACATTTGTAATAGAAATAAAATAAATATGAGATAACTAATGTGTTTGGTATCATTTGTTTTGTTTTCAAAAGATCCTCTGCTAAGATCCTGGGATTCATTTTATTGTAAAGAGTGAAGTAGAAAAGCAGAAAAACAACTGGCACCAAGTGACATAAGAAAGAGACCAGGCAGGTTGAGGAGACACAGCAATTGTGCAAATAAGAAAAAGAGTCAGAAAAGAAAAATATGAACAAAAAGAAAAAAAAGAACAAAAAATATTCAAGCAGTTTTGTTATGTGCTTTAACACTATCTCAAGAATGTATTGCCCTGATTATCTCTAGTTGCATTTTGGAATGATGGACTATTCTTTCTTTGTGTGCAATTTGGTACTGGCTCTATAGATGTGCTTTAAAGATTACATTGATGTAAGGTTTTGAAACTCTTTACGTCTGTATATATAATCAGTATGCAAAATAATCTTTCAAAAAAGACAGGACAACATATTTAATTTTTTGTACAACTTGAAAATTGAGACTCATGGAGATTGAAATGATTTTTCCAAGAAAACACTATGAAGACATTAAGCCATGTCAACTGGTATTCTCTTCATTTCTCTATGGGGCCTCGGGTATATTACAAAAAATGTTTGATGTGTCTTAGAGTTATCATATTTTCTTCCTTCCTTCCTTCCTTTCATCTTCTTTCCTTCCTTCCTTCCACAATTTTCTTCAAGAATAAGTAGTTCAATTAAAACATTATAGTATTTTATATTAAAATTTTCTGCAATGATAGAATTGTTTGTAGTCCACAATGCTAGCCATGAGCCATGTGTGGCCAACCCTGAAATGTGACCAGAAGATTGAATATAAATTGCATTTAATCTAAAAATTTACTAGCCATAATTGGCCAGTAGTAAAATAGTGGACAGCACCTCTCTAGACCATACGTTTTGAGAGTCTACAGAATACCCTGAAACCTTACAGAAAAACATCAGTGCTCAATTGACCTTGCCGTTAACCTTTGTCTTTCTATTTGTTAATGTACTATAAAGTCTCAACCACTCACAAACAAGCCAATAGATGACATGTACCATATGGTTGGTTGACTAGTTATCTGATTGCTGATCATTACTCTTACAATTAAGGTAAAATAGCTAAGTTCCTTTAGAGCACTATTTCCCTGGATTCTTCTTAAGGTTGTATGCATCCAATTGTTATTCCTCTCATAAGAACATCATTGTCATTCTTTCTTCATGCTCATAGAATGTTGACTAAGGTACTTGTATCTGTGCTTCTTAATGTATAATCCATATAACATCCACAATACTGGACTCTTTTGATAAATTTCTAGAAATCCTATATGCCCTTCCTCTGAAGTAAACAGGATTTAAGAACAAAGCAGAATATAAACAGAATTAAAGTTTCATAGAGCAAAGAGACTCTACCAATATTTTTGTGGATTCATACAAAGCTGAACTCCTAATTCTCTCTCTCAGATATTTTAAAAAATTTCCACATAACTTAGAATCCTTCTTGCTTCCAATTTTCCCCCATTACTTGGTGCTTTGATGTACTGAATAATTCAGAGGGTCTTGTGTATTCACTTAACAGAATTATCAGTTGTTTTAAGTAACAAATGGAAGATGAACTTTGAAGGGTATAAGGATGACATTACCACTTGTGGGAATTATGATAGGAGTGAGATGTATAGGCAAAGAGATTTATGTGGTTGCCAATCTATTGATGTTGGAAGTCATGCTTATTGCCAAAGCCTGTGAAAACATCCTTATCTTATCCTAAAAGGAAAATCGTCTGTGTGTACCTTATGTGTCTGTAGAATACTAGTTGCACCAGTTACATTGGCAAGTCATTTGGCTACTGCTTTCTCACCAAAGCTACACCAACAAGAATAAGCTGAGATAGCTCATATGACTCCAGCATAGCTCTTGGGGAACAGAGTGTCATCACATCCTACAGTCATGTTGTTCTCTTACCTCTGTTTTCTGACGTGTTTAGCTGAAGTTAGGGAAAAGTTACCATCATCAAATACTTCAAAGTGTAAAGCAAAATACATGTGGCAGAAAAGAGCCCTCACTTATGTCAGATACTGGGGATGATAATGTGCTACTCTGTTAGGGGATGGGGGCCGTCCAGTGTAGACACTGTACACAGATTGTAAACTGTCAGTGAAGTGCTACTGTTAAGAATCTTTGCTTTTGGAAACTTGAATTTGCAAATGTTAAATGCTGTACCTTGTAAGAACCATAACTTTTTCTTGGCACAGAAGGTTGAAGTTTTACAGGTCAAGTGATTGGTAGACTTCTACACTACAGTACCTGAACACATGTTTAGAGATATGCTTCACATTGACAACTTCCCTTCTTGACTGGTACATTTCCTTTCCTTACTTACAGGGATTTTTTAAAAATTGGATTGTGATCAGAGTATAAATGAGAACTTCACTCGAGGGATGTTTCTACTGCTTCTTTGAATCATGGGGGGAGGGGGTTGGTATGAATGAAAGAGTGGATCCAATAGGCCACCAAATGATACATGCTGCAACTAAAAGAACCACTTCTGGAAATGACATAAAAATATTCTAATATTAAGTTTTATCTTACAATGTTGTGGAAGGAATGCAGTGATACATCTTGCATTTGTTTTGTCTTGATGACAAAATACACTCTTTAGAGCCACAAGAGCCTGCCTTGTGTTAGTTATAAACAAAAATATATTTATATATATATTTATGTAACTACTATGTGCTTTAAAGAAAATTACTGAGTGATTCAGCAGGGTTATTCCATTCTTTCTTTTTTTTCCTATCACCAGGGATATGTTGACTTGAATGGCTTCTTAGACAGGAATTGACAATGAAATGGGTTTGTCATAAACATATGGTGATTTTTTTTAATGGGTGTTCAAAATCCCTTAAAATATTTGTCTCAAAAATGATCACATAATTCTTCCTGTTATTTCTGTCTGATTCTACTAGCTAAGAGCAAATGAGGCTTCCTAGGACTCCAGGTGGGAGAGGAGGCAGCACCTCTGAAAAGAAAACTCTTTTTTTTTTTTTTTCTGAAGTGAGAGAATGAACTACCTCACTGGCTATGCCCTCCTTTCTAGTCCTTAACTTAACCTTTGGAAATTGTGTCACAGATCATAGAAAGGGCATTCATTACCAGGGAAGAGGCAGGCATAGTGAACTTCTGAACAGATGAAAGGTTCATCCTGCGAAATAATGAACTTGTTGGAACAACTGCATCTAGAGCAAAAAGTAAAAACTCTTTGCCCAAAGTGTGTTTGGAAAAGATAGAAAAACCTCTTTTGGGTTTGGATTTGCTCTCATGTTAGCTATTATTTCCAGCATTCTTGAAACATTCGTCATTGCTCTTTCCAGGGAAAGCATTCAGGCTTTGGAACATAGTTATCTTTGAGACATCAGAGAAGAACATTTGAACCAAAGGTGTAGATCCCTTGTGAACTAAAGCTTTATTTATTATCATTATATTTTCCTTGATCCCTTTGCAACCCTGCACCTAAACTAAAAACATTGTCACCTTGTCACACGTCTGGCAAGTCCACAGGAGATGTTCCTCATGAACCATGGATGTCATTCCACTAGGGAATTTTATATTCAGTGTACATGGTGTCTTGTACAAGTCTGAGTTTTCTTTTCAATGTTCCTGTGCTGGGCTCATCCAGAAATCTTGTCTCCCTTCTGGCTACAGCAGTTTAGGGCTCCTTTGTGTGTGGCTGTGGGTGTGTGTCTGTCTGTTTTAAAGGTATAAGCGAAGTTTAGTCTTAACACCTGTAAGCCAGTACTGGTGCTGCTCTGTCCTAAACTTTAGCACTGCTCTGATACAATAAAACCTTCTTTCTCTCCAACTGGTTCCACTTCTGCATAAGCAGGATGTCCTGATCCTCTTCGAAACTTCATTGCTGGCCATCTGCTTGGGCGTCTCTAAAACAGGAAAATGCAAAAATAATGAGCATCATAGTGAGATATTATCATCAACAAATACATATTTACCAGGCTGTGGATGTTTCTCAGTTGGTAGAGTGCTTGACATGTTAGAAGTCCTAGTTCCAATTCCTACCATCGTGTACATCAAGCATAGGTGGCACATTCCTGTTAATTCCAGCTCTAGGGAGGTGAAAGCAGGAGGTTTGGAAGTTCAAGGTCAGCCTGTGATAACATGTGCTGTCTTTCTGAAAAAATTACTTTCTAACTATTCTAGGTTAACTTCTCAATTGAACCGCATTAAATGATCTCTTGCAACAATCACCACTGGAATTAATATGTCCCCCTCTGTAAGGTCCCTGAGTCATGTACTTGAGTCTCCATTCTGGCTACCAACATCCAGCAAATGGCAGTCTATTGACAATATCCACTCCCAAGTTACTCAAAGGCAAGGTTTAATGCATGCTTTATAATCATTTTTGTCTGAAAAGTGCCACATATAAGAAGATAAACTATGATTTTAATATTTATTTACTTAGATTTCTGAATATTTGTATGTGCCTATATGAGCTTATGTGCACCTCATAAACACAGGTGCCCAGAGAGGCCAAAAGAGTGCAGCTGATCCCCTGGAAATGGAGTTAGAGATGGTTGTGAGCCACCTGATGTGGTTTCTGGGACTCAAACCTGGATCCTCTGCAAAGAAAAAATACATTTTCTTAATTTATGAGCCATTTCTGCAGTCCTTAAAATTCATTAAAAAAAACCCAAACTCCAGACAGAATCTTACTATGTAGCTCAGGCTAGTCTGGAACTTATGAAATGGATATGTGTCTTCCATGTGCTGAGATTAAAGGTATGCACTCCCATGTGTAACCCTGAAGTATGATTCTCTCTTCTAGAATTTAATACCAATATCATTTCTGTTGTCATCATTTCACTAAAAAAGTAAGGCCATAAAATTCTCTAACCATTACTATGAGTGTGGTTTCAATTAGCTGTTAGATTTCCTACCAAATAAGATAGAGGAAATATCACTCTGGCTTAAGTAAGTGTTTTTCAAACTAAGCACATGTATTTATGACTTTTATGGCCAAACATTAAAGGTGTCAAATCTTAAAATGGGATCCATCACCAAAAGCTGTAAACAAACCTAAGCCTATGAAGTTAATATTGCATGGTAGACACTAATTTTCAAACACGGGCTATTTTTATTGACAGGAGGAGCCTTTCTCTCCAGCACTCTGTCTATCAAATAAAACCACTGTGATTTCTAAATAGATGTGCTGAAATGAATTATTAAGTCACAGTCACAGAAGACATTAAATGCATTTCATAGCCACAGTGACACTAGAAGTGATTACTCCATTTATCAAAGTGCCTGCAATTTTGGCATAAATAAGGCAATAAATATTGAGGGAATTTTATTTCTGTGTAAAGACTTTTAATGCAAAAAGGTTAAATATCAGTGTACATATAGTGGTGCTTGGTATCTTGCTAGATTTGCTAATGACATGCCAACGTCCATGATTAATGGCTGAGTGTAAAGTATTTCACATCAAGCAGGGATGAGTATTAGTTTCATGTTCTGGAAAAATGTCAACTGAGGTAATTATATTCTGCTTATTAATAATACCATGCACAGTCACCATAGCACCATGTGGTCAGGAAGTCTGATGTTGATTAGCTGATTAAATCTCATGAGGTAAGTGACACTGAGTGATCCTTGCTATCCAAAAGAAGACATTAAAACGGTGCACAGAATAGCACAAAGCAAAAGAATGTGTTGGCCATGGGCCTGGAGATCATAACCTTTGATGAACACATGCCCAGTCTCTTTGGAGGTAGTACTGTAATTCATGGTTCCTACTTATTTTAGGGAGAACACGACATGCTTGGGGCCTACTGTTTATAGCTCCCATTTGGTTTCCATGACTTCAGAACTGGATTTCTCTAATGCCTTATTTCCCCCAGGCAAGAAGCATTGTTAATTCCTTGCTTCATATCTATTTTATAAAAGGGCAAGAAGCACAATGACCTCTGGGTCCACCTGGCAAGGGCAGCCCCACAAACTAATTCCCATACCTAGCACTTAAAGATGTTACACTCAGGGACTTGTTACTAGAAAGATGTACTGGTGACAAGCACCCTGATGATGGCACTCTCAAAAGCTGCATATTAGTAAAATCTTCTTAGTATATTTTATGATTTATACTAGGTGATCATTTGCATTATCTACTAACTTGAAAAACTAGGAACAAGCAACTGAGATTAACATGAAATCTATCTACTTACAAAATTAATTTGCCCACTATCAAAATTACTTCCTAAAATTCAATAGTTTACACATAACTCAGCCAGTATTTGTGGACATAATTTTACTTTCATCTTACTCTTAAAGTGTGACATCATTAACAATATCAGTATTTGCATGTCACAAAGTTTTAGTTAACTTCTTTTTATATGAAAAGTCTGGGATTGTTGGTGGTATGCATTGTATTAAAATTCATCATGGAATCTTCAAAATAGTACAAGAATATTTGGCAGGGTAAACACAATACAAAGTTATTTTCAGAAGTTATTGTTTTGTTTTTATTTTCCACTGCTAGGAAATGAACCCAGGGCCTTGCATAGGCTGGGTCAGTGCTCCATCTCACCCTTGAAGTCCCATCATACTCATGATTTAATCACCTAGTTGTTCACTGCCCACCTACATTTCATTAGTAAAGATGAATGATGAAATGGATACAACACAACTAAAATTCATTCAAGATATTCTTCATTTGTAAAATCTAAAATCTTATATTACTTTCTTTATGCTTAACAAAGATAAATAGCATTTCTCATACTAATATGGTAAAGTGCATATGGGTTAAATACATTGAAAACTCAAAACCTGAATATTTGAATTATTTTTGTAGCACTTACAGACAGAATGCTACAAAAGGAAAACTTCACACCATTAAAATTTTCTTCATGAATCACTTAACAAAACAAATGATATCACTTTCAGTATGCATAAGATATGTATGAACCAAATCAACCTGTGTATAGAATATAAGAAACTTATTATTTTTTTTGCATTCTTCCACAGTTCTTTGATGCCTCCATTTGACAATCAAAACTGCAAAAGAAGAGTGAAAACTTTGCCAAAAATCTGTTGTCCTTTTAGAAGATCTTCACAAAAACATAGACAATGTCATTCTGTATCACAAAACAGCCATGCTATGATAAGTAAGTCATGTGATGTTTCTGGACCTTTAATTTCAAACTGGTATCTAATGTCTCCTTCAAGAATCTAGGATTTTTTTTCTTGCCTTCCTGATTCACTTTAAAGTCTGAGGGAAAATAATAACAACCACAATTATAATACCCCTGTACTGTGGCTAATTAATTATCATTCCTCCTGTCTTGGTCTATTATAGAAATCCTAAATGTATGGGGGACTTACACTCATTAGTCTCCACTGAAGTTGTTTTACTCTGGCTCTGTGAAGCTGCTCAGCTGTTTGGAAGCAGATAATAGTTAGCTGTGACATTATTTGGATGAGTAAGTATTCAGATCTCCCAGGAAAGTCCTTACTGTTGGTGCTACAGTGTGAAACATCTCCCCAATGGGCTGGGAAGGCACGGGCAGAGGAGTCTGGAAATTAGGGCATTACCTTGGTCTTGCTGTGAACTCAAGTCTGACTAGTGAGAATCAGCAATTTAGGGATCTTGAACTTCTTCCTTGAGACCCAGAAATTGCCACATCTACAGTCTTTTAAGAATAGCCAATTGAAAGTGTTATAGGAACTGGCAGAGACCACAAGATCACTTGATGGCAAAGTAGAGTGTATGCTGAAACCCCCAAATTCAAATCAGAAGGTAGTGAGAATCCATTACAGACACATAGGGTATGATACCCACAGACATGATGGAGTTCAATGTGTAGGTGACCTTTAATTTTGTTTCTGAGAATTTATGTGATTGGTCACATTAAGAGGAAAATGTTCAGAGTGATATGTGGGGACTTCGGTAAGTCAGGCAAGCAGGGATTCTCCTTAATTACTCCTTCAGTACTAATAATTGAACAGTCATCCAAATCTGCCTCAATGACCCATTTGGAGAAAATTAATGACAATAGCCACAAACAAACGTGTAGGGTACACTCAGCTAGCAGTGTGCAAAAACTGCAGCTTGAGACCTGTGCTCTGGTGCACAGAGCAGATAGGCAGGACATTCTGTAGGCTTAAGTTGCCCTGGAAAGGAAATAAATTGGCACATATGTTAAGAAAAGGGTAAATGTGAAATCATGGGCCAGATACAAGACACCTGTATACATAACAGGTCTTGATAAGCAGCTAGTTTGGGTCTCACCATTTCATACTGCTTTCCTCTATGAGCACAGGAAACGGACAGTGATTGGAGTCACCTCCAAACCCAGGGCTTGGGCAAAGCCACGTGGGTCGTTTGTTATGAAAGGAACTGATGTACAGAGAGGTTGGTTTCTACTTACTCTCCTCTTAAAAAGCTTTTATTTAAGATCCTAGTCTCCTTTCACTAATACAACCTCACCTACTGCTCACTGGGCCCTGAGGAACCTATGGCTTCCTTCCTTCCTTCCTTCCTTCCTTCCTTCCTTCCTTCCTTCCTTCCTTCCTTCCTTCCTTCCTTCCTTCCCCCCTCTCTCTCTCTTCCTCTCTCTGTCTCATCCTCCCTCCCTCTCTTCTTTCCTTCCTCCCACCCTTCTGTCCTTCCCTCCCATCCTAATTAAAAAATATTTTATGATTTCTTTCTTTAAGCATGTTTGCAAGCTTTGTATTTAAATCTTCATGTCTCAATATGAGCCTAGCAACCTCAAGGCAGCCTGTTTGTGGGTCTGGGAGGCTGAGGAGTCTGCATTTCTAATCAACTTCCCATGCTGTGGCTGCTGCACCATAAGGTATCCCCTGAAGAGGAGGGGTCATGATTCTGGGAGGTATCTTAAAAAAGGAACACCCTCAAAATGAGTGGAAGAAT